AAACAGATATACATATACATGGACTTGCAGTTTTTATAGGGAGTGTTATGTGTGAATGTGAAACAATTTCCCACCATTTTTGTACGTGTGTGTGTGTTTGCGTGCATGTATAGAGGCACTCTTCTCACCTGGCTGTTGAAGCGCAGCCAGCATGACTCACTGTCTGCTTTTTTTTTTTCTCTCTTCTTTCCATTTCGACTGAGGCTCTGCAGGTTCAGAGTTCACCTCCATCCATCTCTCTCTCTTCGTCACTCCTCACTCTGCCTGGTCTTTTTTTCCTCTCCGTCTCCCTCTGCCTCTTGTTATTTACATTCAATCAACCCCCTTTCTCCTATCTAGCTTTTGCTCTTTCTCATCTTCCTCAATATACCATTTCCTCCTGTGCTCCCCTGCCCACGCTGAATCGCTGCATGCCGCTCTGTCTGTAGGGTATGAATAATTGAGACGTATTGAGTGTGGTCAGCATATGGTGAGATGGCCGTTGTGGATCTATCTGCTGCTCTTTAGGAAACGCTGAGTGTATCCTGACACCTGTCCAGTCCTGTCCCACAGGAGCTTTGCACAGCGGTAGGGGGAAGCGAGGCAGGGGCGCTACCCAAAACGTCTCCCCTCTAACTGCACCTGCAGTTGCACACGCTCACATATAACGCAGGTGTAGATATGCAACAGTACGCTCTCAGGAATTTATGCCTGCGCACACACAAGTCAACACGCGGAAATACAAACGAGTGTAAATACAAACACACGTCAGGGTGCCATCCGTTCTGTCTCCATCCCGTCTTGTGCACCTGCAAACCAAAGAGATTTATCGCAAGTCTGCTCTTTATCTTTCTGCTTCTTATCCTCCACACCCATCTCTCTCTCTCTCTCTCTCTTTCACTTGGCCCACTCTTGATCCCTCCCTGTCCCTAGACTGCCCCTTTTTCCTCGCTTGACAGCACCCACAGCCTCTGTCAGCACAGCCACCGCCACCCAGCTGACCCCGTAAGCCCCCCCACCCCCACCCCCTCGGGCACCCCTCCCCCAAAGGCTCTCACCTTAAAGCCTGAACTGTGTCTGTGACCTCCGGGAGTCACATGAGTTAACCCAAGCTCTCCTCCACACGCACATCCACAGCTCAATGTTTCTGGGTTACACAGCTTTTTTTTTTGCCCCATTCACACTCAATTGATCTCTTACCCTTTCTCACTCCAGTTTCTCCTAATCCCTCCCCCCTTCTTGATACTACCCCCTCTTTTTTTCCTTCTGGTTCCCCTTGTACCTAAATTATTCAAGAACAATTAAAACGAAGAAACTCATGTTCCTTTTCTCTAATGGCTCAGAATTCCTTCCACTACAAACCTTTGTCAGTCCTGAAATTAAAGCCAACCTTCAAAATTGTTTTAATGTTTAGATTGTGATTAAGTTATTTACAGAGGTATTTCTATTATTTTGTCCTAAATAATCAAAATCTATTTATTGTGCGTACCTCCACTTATTTCACACACGACATTGATTTCTGCTCCTTAAACATGTTTTCCGACAAAACTGTAAAGTGCTCTATTTCTGAATGTTACAATGATGAGTGTTGCAGATCCGACAAACAACGGACTGGGGTGAAAACATAACCTCCTCGGCCGAGGTAATAAACACAAACATCTCTGCATAATGTTACACAGTTCAACAGCTGCACATATTTTATCTTCCAAAATGATCATTCAGCTGAGTCAACACCTCTCCTAAAACACTTTCAATAAAACTTGTAGATTATAACCTTCATGAAGTTAGAGGATTTACTGCAAGGCTACTGCATTAGACTTCATTAATTTTAGAGAGGTGTATCTGATAAACTGCCAACTGAGTGTATAGAGGGGCATTCGGGCCAAACACTGATTCCTCCTGCATGTAGAATAGCACAACATAGGCTTCACAGTAGCTATAAGCATTTTAATTTAGTGTTTGTATCCAGCCAATTCTATTTCATGACCCTTTCCTCACCTCGTAAAAATCTTCCCTCCACAAACATCACCTTTCTTACTGTTTCTTAGTGTCTATGTTTACATGATGCAAGTGGGGAATCAAGATCTTTTTCTAGTTTTTCTTCATTTGAATCTTTTTAAGTTAATTGAAATCTTATTTAAAGTCGAACCCTGGATTTAATTGATTTGATACACGGACGAGCAGATCTTACTCCATTGTACTTCATTAATGCCACTGTGGGAATTTGCAATTTATGTTTATTTTTATTTTCTACATACATGTTGCCATGAAATAGCTTTTCCGCCAGTATAGAGGTGTTGACTGATTTCCTTTGACCTGGCAAAGATAAAGTGGTTGCATGAGTGTGTGGGTGTGTGGGGGGATGGGGGATAGAGAATGAGAGAGAAAAGAAAACAAGGGGACTGACTTAAAGAGATGGAGGTGAGGCAGAATCAGAGGAAAGTGAAGATGTTTGTGTTTAAAGTCCACAGAGACAAAGAAGGAATATAAAGAAAAAAACTTGTACATGTTTTCCGTACACATCTGTTTGCCCTCTGAGCTCTCAGTCTCTCTGGCAGATGCTGACACTGAGCGTGCATTTGCATAGCACCGCATTATACATTCATGTGGGCTAACCCTGATGTGTCCTCATGTTTACACCACTGGAACTAATGACACTGCTACTGCAATCCTTCAAAATTAACCCTTCAGGTCAGCCAAATACAAACACACACACACACAGAATCCACTTCTTATGAACTCTTGAAGGAGTTACTGAAGGACATTAATGAGGTGTAACTCTGGGACAACGCTGGCGTGTGTGTTCCTCCCCTCGTGTTTTGTGTGTTCAATTCACACTTACCTCTTTTCACTCCTTTCAGGCTGCACTCATAGTTATGGATTATTTTAAATTTCAACTTCAGCTCTTGTAACCGAGTGTTCATTTATGTAAGACATGGAAATACTCAGCTCATGTCTGAGTGTATTGAGTATTTATTAAATCCTTGGTTTCCAAATCAGCTGCATTACACACAAACAAAGTGATGCACCTGCAGCCGTCAGAGATGAGTGTTGTACAGGTTTGATATAATTCAATATTTAGCTCCACACAAGAGAAATCCATTTAAAAAAACTGCTGGATTGAGTGTGTATAGGCGATAACGTGCAGGTGGGAGAGTGTGTGCGAGTGCGAAATCCAACAAAATCATGCTGCATCTCTGACACTCCAGCAGCAAGGTCAAGACAGCTGCGTAGCAGGGTAAGTTCCACCAGTGAGTGGTATGAGTGTATTCTTCCTACAGCGGGTCTCCCACGGCATGAACTGTTACAACAGGAGCAGCTTAAAAAACGATGCTCAACACAGACGAGAGGCTCTGTGTGCCTGGAGGCTTGCTGAACTCAACAAGCTTGGATGGAAATAGCACAGTCGATGTCTCTACTCAGTAGGTCTTACTGGATGTTTCCGTTTGACAGAGAGAAACAAAACAAAATCTCCAGAATAGAAAAAAAACAACTAAAAAAATAGTGAAGTAAAATGTGTTTGCTTTTCTTTTCAGTCAAACTGATCATTACAAGGCAAATATACAATTAATTAGCAATAAGGTAACAAGGCATCCTCACAATTAGTTAAAATGAAAATATATAAATATGCAAGATATATATTTTTTTTCCTATTGCTCATTTTGGCTGCAACATAATAAGTCAGTGTTTTTTTCAGTGAAGACAGACTTTATGCAAAGATTGTATCTAATTATATTAGATGCACTTCAGTCATCATCGTAGAAAACGTCGTTTTGTTTGCTAAAAAGTAAAAATACACAAACACACAATGCTATACACACATTGGCGTGTATAGAATAGAACAATCTTCAAATCCGCATGAGTTCCCACATTTTTTTTGACTGATTTGAATGTGTTCAAGAGGTCTGGAATATCATAGTTATTATCTATCTATTTACATAATATACAGTTTCTCCAACTATGGAACAATTATTTTGTGATTTTCAGGGTTTTGTAGTGCAAATAAGATTGGGACATTTTCCAGGTATTTTTACCAGAGCGTTGGCTGGTACAGTTTCAGAAAATGTCCGGAGCATCTGACTGTGACATTTTTATTGGACCTGGACTTTAGTGCATATCTAAAAGCAGCGTGCATGTGTGAACTCTATGGGAGTTTGTTTTGTTCTCAGTTCCAGAATTGTTACTCCATTGTAAACACTCCAGGTTCTGAGTTTTTTCAGTCGATACTCCTTCAAATAAAGTGAGCTGCCACATTCTCCAATGTTTGAATAGAGCTAACGCTCTGTTCAAGGGCAGTAAAAGCTCCCTTTACACACGTGTGTAAAATGCCTCATAAAGACCTAAAGACCCAGAAAATACAGGAAACAGTCATCGTCTCTTCAGCCAGATCCAGGTTATCAGTGTTGGACTATGGAGCTTTCTATTGAATTATTGAATTACAGCACTGAGAACAAGGTCTTAAAAGTCTCTTTAGGACCATTAACGTAATTGGGCAATCATACCTCTGATACTGTGGGGAAAAAGGAAAAAAATATGATGATGACTTGGCACTTTGTTCCATTTCCACTGCTTTCATGTGCATGTAGCTAACGAAAAGTTGAAAATACTTCTCTTGAAATGAAGAAGCCTTGAGCGTTTCCACCCTCTTAGCTCCTCCTCCCCTGTTTCATCCTAATACATCCACTCACCTGCATAAATGTGTCATTACAGTATTATTATGGTTATGGTATCCCCTAGCCCACATTTTCAGGGACTTAGGTACAGTGTTCTGGGGCTTACATGAACCCATTATGTCATTAAGTCATTATGTACTGGGACAGAGAGAAAATAATACTCATAATAGGAGCTACATTGGGCAGTACTTTATTCTATATACTCCCAAACCTTCCTTCCTGTCTATTTATCTGTGCGACTGTCTTTGCCAGCACCATATTTCATGTTACATGTTACACACCAGAGAGAGTTTTAAGACAAACTTGTGAATCAGTTTTTCAGCTGATTGCGTTGCCATGCCGACTTACCCCAGAATTAGGATACGCTGTCCAGCCCAGTTCAGCTGTGGCCACCCGAGTGTCCATCACGGTCTCTGCAGCAAAGAGAAAAGGAAAAGAGATAGAGAAAAGGGAAGACAGTGGTTAGCCACAGAAAAAAAGCTATTTTGAGTATCACTCCACAGAGCTGAAATGCATTCAAGCCCCAGTGATCACTTGACACTATCACCGATGAGCAGAAAAGAGATGAACCCTTCACAGCGTTTCATCCGTCTCCGCTCGACTTCTGTTAAGACAAGAGACATGGAAACAAAGCCTCGGCATTGGAAGGAATGTACGAGTGCTTCTGTTAGATGCTGTGACCTCTCCATGTGAGCGTGGAACTACAGTATGTGCATCCTGCCTTTTCATCGTGTGCGTGCATGACATGAAAAACATTGAGCGAGTTTGCATGTGGTTGTGTGTGAGCACTGAACTGTGTCACATTGTTTACCCAAAAGAAAGTGGCTGTAGAAATGCAGCAGGAAGCCTCCAAGTGCAGTTGTTTACTACAAAGGGACCTTCCCTTCAAACTACTATCATAGAGGTTATCTGTACTTATTGTCTCTGTTCATCTCAACCTACATTTATAAAAAGACATACAGTCTCTAAGTGTAAGTAAGAAGGGCAAAGTCTGCATTCATTGTTTATAACAAGCTGTTTTCAGACATAAACTCCTGAAAACGTTCAGATGGTGAAGAGGTTCTGAAGAGGTCAGGCATGTTCACAACAACAGGAAGATCTCGATCAGATGAGGGTTGGTGTCTGGGCAGAGAAAGCAGGAGGCAGGACAGTCTCTTTCTCTTTCCATGTTTAGCATCTTAGTCACTGTCCTCTATTTACATGAGACGTCTTTCTGAGATATTTCTGAGATACTTTTTTTTTTTCTTCTTAGTTTTGGGTCCATTGCATGTTAGAAACCTCATTGAGGTGCCCACTCTCTTGCTGAATCCTCCGCATAATATCCCACTGTATTCTTACATGGGCTCATTTGTACATTCTCTGAAAGTTTTTACTTGGGTGCTGGCAGGAAAAACTCCGGAGAATGACAGAGCCTCTGATTTGGATATTTCCATTCTCACATATAGTTCAATGCATGACTGAAAGTAACTATGTGATACATAGGTTATAAACAAAAATGAGACAAGAAAGGGAATTCTACCATTGGGTGGACAAGATTAGAATTCATCTACCTCACACGGACTTCTATTAAACTCACTGTCATGTCTGGCACCATGTGAAATATAAGAACATAAAGATTACCCATTCTATCTTGCTCGCTCTCTCCTCTTACTAATCCTCAGTGACACACTGTAGACAAATAGGTCTGGCAGCTCACCCAAGAAGTTTGTCATCCCTGTTTTGATTAATATCTGCCTGGTTGGCACTTTGAAATCTGGAAACTTGATAAAGCTCCAGGAAAGACGAGAGAAGTATGGCAGTTATCACCAACCACTGCTCTCTCCTGCTTCTCCCTCCCTCTCACAGGGAGATTTATAGAGTGATGAAGTGGGTGACATGTTGGCCTTAGCAGTGTAATGATAGATTCATAATTTCACTTGTAACAGACAGTTTATTCTCTGGCCCAAACCTTCGATCTTACCGTGAGAGAACTGGGACATATTTCGTTTTCTGATGCCGCCCTGACACAACCTGTGCTCGGTTGTGTTTAATGTGGCCAGACTAGATAAAAAGCTGGGAGACATGATGAGTGGATGGTGTGTCTGGGTGATGATGTGTAGCAGATAAGAAAAGGTGCATGGGGAATTATCAGAGGAACTGCAGCTGCTGTGTCTACGGCTTGGACAGTATCCACTATCAAAGCAAACTGTTGGCAAGCAACACCCTCATGTGTTGTTGATGTGGGAGAAATCTCACTCTGATGAAGTGCAAAGACGCAACACTGCCTTCATTGAAGAAAAGGAGTCCTCAGCATCCGTCTTTTACCTGCTCCACACAGTTAGTACACACATGCAGCTTTCTGTTATTTGGAGTCTCTCTGACCCCACAGTGATTTAGAAATCATATAAACTGATGAAGCACTGAAAGCCCATCATCTGCAGGTCAACTGGTGTTGGTCAAATTAAGTGGCATTCCATGGAAGATGCGGACGTCACCTTGGAAAGTAAAAACTGGGATTTATACATCATGTCCTCCCTCCTGCATGCTCTACCTGGGCGGTACCCCTCATCTGAGTGTTTCAGACGTTTTCCTGTTGCAGTTAACACTGTTGGAGACAATCACCTGCTGCATTCTTCACATGTGAAAGGCCACCCATTTATCCAGACATTTTTCAGAGCACATGTCTGAAAACAGCCATTATATTATATACACGCACACATGTTAAGACAAACACATGCACATTCTCTTCCACCACCACCAGGCAGCTCAAAGAGCAACTTTCTGTGTACACCTACAATGACAGCCTTGTTCACACTCGGCTTCCATCAGAGTATTTCAATTTCCCTAAGATCAGCCGTGCCTTGTCTCGTTTCCAGCCAGCCAGCTCGAGCCCGCCTGCCTCCCTGCCTGTGCGACTTGCTGTCAGCTGGGGAGATAGGAGCATGAAACAGCCCTTAGCGCCAGCCAGCGTCGTGGGGACTGCCAACCCTTTCTCAGGGGAAATCACAAAAGCTTTAGTCAAATCACACAGGCACTTGGTGGGCCATTTTCCATTTCCTTCTAAAAAAGGAGAGGAGACGGGGGGAGGAGGCGCAAGACGGTGAAAGTAGGAGGTAAAAAAAAGGTCAAAGGCCCATGGGAGGGTTTGGTGAGCTGTGTCATGTGACCTAATGGCTACCATTAGCAAAATACTAGAGTAGCAGATGAGTAAATGGAGAGTGGTAAGTGGTTTTTAGGAAATAGGGCGGGGCTCACACAGCCTTAATGCCACGGCTCAAACACCTGTCCACCATCACGGGCTCTTGGAAATTGTCCCTTGTGTGTGTGTGTGTGTGTGTGTGTGTGTGTGTGTGTGTGTGTTTTAAATGGTACTGGAACTATTCATCCATTTCCATAAACGGATTTGAAGAGTTTCATTTCAATAGAAGCTACCCACATTAATTAGAAAAGCCAACTCTTTCAAAATTACAAGAGCCATATTTTGTATTTCTGCTGGGAGTCATCCTGTGACCTAAGCTTACAAAACAATTCGTTTTCAAGGGATTGTTCATCTTCTTTTTCTTTTCAAATGGCTGCTCATCCATTTTATATAAGAATACATTTAATTAATGCTAACTTAATGTGTATGAATTCTGATATCAGATATTTCTCTCGGATTGACGGATTCATATAAACAATAATTTCCTTGGACAAAAAAAGATGCTTGAAACGTAAGTTTTAATTTGTCGGTGCTAAGACACTTATTTCCTCTGATTAGTCTGTGGGTTCCAGTAGTTTAATGGAGGTTCACTCCTCAGCTCAGATCATAAAACCCACATAAAAACAATTAGTCCTCCTTCTCCCCAGCCCCCTGATTTTATAGCTGTTATATGTGGACACATACCCTGTTAGCCTCTCTCTGTTTTTTTACCAAGTCATTTGGAAGACAAAGGTAAGACAGCAGCTAGCTGTAGTCCCTTGTGATGGGGGGGGGGCTGAGTGTTTTCTTCTGCATTCATATTCCGCTATGTCAGCTCCACCTGCAAGCTCCAGTAAATTAAACACACTGTCAGGTTCACAAACAGTTCAGTCTGTGGGAAAGTTATTAACACAGAGAGCTTAATGTTGACTATGTAACCATGGCTCATACATCTTTTGGAAAACAATAGCTTGTAGCTGTCGGGCTAGCCCGCCTTAAATGGATTCAAAGAGCCGCAAAAGGCCGGAGGATGTATCATGACTACATCACACAATATTTGTTAATGTAAATCATACAGAGGATGAGGGTTAGGTCATTGTTAATGGCTCCACTTGAGGTGATACACAACCATGGTACTAGTCAAAACCGGGAAGTCGTGAGCCAAGCAGAGGCCCAGCTGAGGGACTACGGCTTCCAATCCCAGAAAGCACAGAGCCTTCTCATTAGCAGCAAATGATAGATCAATACCAAATGCTAGGCTGTTTCCACAGATAGAGAGCGGGGGAGGGAGAGAAATGAAGGAGCGAGAGAGACTGCATTAAACATTGATGGGGCCCTGCGTTACAGATCGATAAGGCAGGGCCCTCTTCACACAATTACACGTCAGCAAGCAGTTGCATGATACATCAAATGCACACGCATGATCACGTATTGCGAGCACCAAAGAATTTCTTTAAAAAGAGAGTTCAGAGAAGAAATGGATTACCTATTGTATCCACCTTCTTTGAGCCTTTACGTATGACTTTAATTCTGCAGTTTGAAAGTCAGAGTGGCAACATGACTGTGAAATTGACCCCCTTTGTGGCCATGTCTGTATGATTGTATGGCTGCTGGTCGATAGAACATGTGCTGAAGCACCTCTCTGAAGCTCCCCGGCTCCTCAGTCAATACGGCTGACAATTCTCCGCATATTCTTCCCTCCCCATCCCACAACACATCTTTCCAATTTAACCCTCCCTCGTCTATATGCCCTCCTGTTCAAGGATGCTCGTGCACTTTGTAATTCAATGAGACAATCATGTCCAGATGCTGAATGCTGGGCTGAGAGGGTCTCCATCTTTGTGATTGTGGCAACACAAGGAAACAAGATCTGAGGGCATTGAAACGCCATTATTTAAGAGGGGTTTATCTTTTCTCAGGAGTGAAATCAAGATGGGAGGTCGAAGAGAGAGAGAGATTGAAGGAAAAGATGGAGAGGAAGAGAGAGAGAGAGAGAGAAGGAGACGAAAAAACCAAGAGGAGAAATCAGCGGGATTGAAATGAGCACTTAACAGTGATGAAGCCCCATGGTAGCCCGCTGAGCCTGGCATCTTAAAACAGGGCTGAAAACAAAGTAACAAACAAACAAGAGTGAAAGCTGCTGTGCTTCCCAAACTAATCAGCTGTCCACTTGGGGGATTTATTAATAAAAAAGGAAAATTTTTGACAGATTATTTTCTGAATAAATTGTGCAGAAGTTTCTCAATCAGGTAGAGG